TTTTTTTTTTTTTTTTTGCTGATGGACACTTAGTTTGTTCCAATTTCTCATTACCAGAAGTGAAAACTAATGAAATGAACATTATTTTATATGCTTTCGTAAGCATATATGTGAGAGCCCTAGATGTGTCTACGTCTGGGAGTGGGATTAATAGGTCAAAGAGTATAAACCTCATCAATCTAACTTCATATTGTTAAATTACTCTTCAAAGAAGTTGTACTAATTTAAACTCACAGCAGAGGATGAGCGTTCTGAAAATTTCACATTATTTAAAAACTAGTGCTTGTGTCAAAGTTGAAAGCTTTCAGTCTTATGAATGTTAGATGGTATTTTGTTTTCAATTATGTTGCCTTTTTCCAAATGACCATTAACCTGAGCACTGTTTCCTTACTCTTTTGTAAACTGAAGTTTCCATTTTTTAACTTTATTTTCCTATCATTGCACATTTTTCTAATGAGCCATTTACTTCATTCTTATTATATGAAATCTTTATGTATTGTGAATATTATTATTTTATCTAGTATCTATATTGTAGTAAATATCTTACCGCCCGTTTTGCTTAATTTCTAGGTTCTTTCACAGCACAAAAGTTTGAAAAATCAATATCATAATATTTAGTCCTTCCTTTCTTCCTGGTCAGTGTTTCTTATATCTTGTTTTAAAAGTCATTCTTTAAAATGAGGTTATAAAGACATTTGAAAAGATTGGTTTTCAAAGTTTTAAGCTTTGCTTTTAATCAAAGTATTTAATCTATTTAGAGTTCACTAAAGCAAGGAATTCATTTTCTCTTGTCCATATGTGTAATCAATTGCCCCAGCACCACTTACTGGCCAGTAATAACACTAATATCAAAAACAAAGTCCTTACAACTGTGTTTCTGAATTCTCTATTCTGCATTAGCCTTTTTTTTTTTTTCCTTATAGGTCCTAGCTAAGGCTTGATATTTAACATTCACATTGAATATCTCATATATACCTATTATTGATGTTTTCATAAATGTTTTATAATAAAGGTGAATAATTTTCTTTATAAAGTTTTCTTATCTCATCTTAGATGCTTTATACTTTCCACTGTTATTTTAAATGACATATTGTTTTCAAATATACATTTTCTAGTTGTTGGTAATGATAAGACCATGGTGGACTTCTGTAATATCCCAGTATATTTAGCAAGCAGTCAGCTGCAGGGATACAGGTGAGGGGAGGGAACCCAGGCCACACCTCCCAAGCAGCAAGGAAGGAAAACGTGAGAAAGGAGAGGAAAGAGGCCAGAGGGCCAGGGCAGAGCGAGGAGGCAGCATCAGGGATCCAGGTAAGAGGAAGGTGGAGAGGTTTTGAACAGCTAAGGAAGACACATGTGTGTCAGTTTGTCCTAATATGGTGACATGCTGCTGTGAGTCTTGATGCTGTGCCACTGGTGTTTCAAACCCAGCGGGGTGCACATGGTGCACAGGTTTCAGTGCGGCTCGCCGACTGAGACAGACTAGGAAGAAGGAAGGGGCCATCCACTTCTCAAAGAATTGGCCAGGGAAAATCTTATGAATAGCAGAGAAACACTGATGCATTACTGTGCAATGTTATGAATAGTCCGGGAACATTGTCCAATACAGAGCAGGAGGATGAGTGACTTAGGATAGAAGGCTCTCAAAATACGACTGGCAAAGAGCTGCATCATCGGAGTAAAACCAGCCTTACTGATAAGGTAAAACTTTCGAGACCTCCATTTGCTGATGTGGCATGACTCAAATTGAGGAGAAACAGCTACAAACATCCATTAATAATCAGAACATGGAATGTGTGAAATATGAATCTAGGAAAATTGGAAGTTGTAAAAATTGAAATGGAACGCAAAAAGATTGATATCCTAGGCATTAATGAGCTGAAATGGACCAGATTTGGCCATTTTGAATCAGACAACCATATGATCTACTATGCCAAGAAAGACATTTTAAATAGGAATGGCATTGCATCATCACAAAGGATGTTTCAAGATCTGTCCCTAAGTACAATGTTGTCAGTAATAGGATAATATCCATACACCTACAAGGAAGACCAGTTAATACTACTATTATTCAAATTTATGCACCAACCACCAAAGCCAAAGATGAGGAAACTGAAGA